GGGGGGGGGGGCTGTTTGTGAGGTGAGATATTGCCGTACGCGCGCGCACGCACACACATAGGACAAAAGCCTAGCTGTTTACACTTGATTCCGAGAGGGCTTGCCTGTATACGCACGTCGTGGTTCGTTACTGCACAGTAAGCAGAGTACTTGTTGGCGCCCCCCCCCACCCCCCCCAAAGTTCATGGTCCTGACACGAGGCAAACAGACCAAACCTGTCAAAAGGAAATTGGCCTGTGAGTGACAGGAAAGAATGCATTTCCAGCACCCTTTTTTTTTTTTTTTTTTTTGTGGAGTTTCTCTACGCTGATTTGAGTACGGCTATGCCCATGTTAGACGCTTTTTTGTCCAATCGGATTTTAGCCTTCTGTGTTGCCACGGCAACCATTTGCCTTCAGAATCAGTCGCGCTGGCCGACGCGATCGAAACTTTCATCATCGGCATCACCCATACCTGTCAACTTATACGGTTTAGCCATAGTTAATACGGGTTTTGTGGTGAATCTTACGTATATGGCCATATCGCACAAATCATACGGATTCTGAAAATTTCCGTTTTTTTTTTTTTTCCCCTAACAGGTAGTTCCGTTTGCTTTTGCCCAGAATGGTGCTAGTCTACTCGAATGCTTTCATTTCCGGTAACTTTCCAGTAAATCACGTGGTTCCTAGTTGAAAACAGCAGAGTATTCATTGCATACTTCGGTAGTGTACAAGCAAGTTCTACAAGGAAACAAATATATCATTCATATTTCGTGGGTTTTTTTCTGCCGTTATTTTGACATATAAAATGCTTTGGTATGTTATAAGGATTTTTTTTGCTCTTTATAAGGATTTTTTTGGTAGTTTATACAGGTTGGCGCTCCGAAAAGTAGACAGGTATGATGTGATTTGACATCATTTCTTTGGTTACGATTAAGGGAATGTTGGGATGTGACTTGCCCGCAAATCTTCATGGCCAGATCACGTTTGAAAAAGAGACCACACTCCTCATGAGGTTTTTATTTTCTGGGATTCATTGATTTAAAAAATTTTAAATATATAGTAAATATATAATAATATAATATGTAATAATAAATATAATTTAATAAAATCACAAATATATTTGTCATGTTATTGTATAAATATTGATTGCGAACTGCTCCGGATGATGATGATGATCATCATCTTGTGTTTTTGTATGTTGTAAGGCCAGTCGTCGTGCAGTGTGACCGATTTTACTCTTCACGAAAGGGTTCCTCGGGCATCAAATGCTAAATACTCCAAAAAATGTGTGCAATAATCGAAAACCACTTTTTTGTTTTGTGGAAATGTTCCGAATCAGTTAATTTTCGACAATCAAAGCAAGGCAAACGGCGTTTCCAACATTCCGTCACTGCTGGGCAGAAACCTCGTCCTGTATGTCCAAATATGGTCGTATTTGTATTCACCAATATTCTGGATGTTTTTTTTTTTTTTGACAGTAAGTGCACGTAGTTAGCTTAGCTACATTTGAGCAAGCCCGTTTTGTGAAAAACGGATCGCCGTATGTAATTTATCAGCGTAGAAAGAACTGGTCAGCCACCAAGGAAAGCGCACGCAGATTTATTTCTGGTTCTTTTTAAAAACTGCTTACGCAGCGCGTCGTTTTTATTTTGGTTTGTTCCGTCACTCAAAAAAAAAAAAAAAAAACACGTTTTGGGGTGCGTGAGTGCGAGTCTTGGTTTGCAACTAATCCAAGCGCGAGTGTACCGTTGGCTCCCATTTAATTGAGAATCGCGTGAACGTCTTTCGGCGGAGACGTCTGGCGAATCGACTGGGCAGGAAATTGGAAAAGTTTTGACGCGGCAACATTTTGTTTTTTGCCAACGTGAGTAATTGATTTGGCAAAATGTCCTCCGTGAAACAGACGCTCCCGAAAGTCTCACACAAACACAAACGGCAAAGTGTAAGTCATTGTCTTTGAGTAGAAAATGGAACGTTCAGCCAGGCCTTTTTCTTGCTGACCGGCTTACATGCAAGTAGATGTTAAAAAAAAAAAATAAAATAAAATCCCCCGGAAAAAAAAAAAAAAAACTTTTTCGCAATTTGTGTGTGTGGATGCAGCCTCGCGTCTGCGTGTGATTGAAAAGCGGCTCCTCGGCCGATGGTCTCTTATCGGCTCCCGTCAGACTGCGACTCATTCCGGAGGTTCTCGGCGCTCGACACGCCGCAAGCTCGTCCACGTGGCTTTGAATGCCAACTTCCTCCTCGTATCCTCCTTGCGACTGTCGCAAGACACGCCGAGTCTCGCGACTTGCCCTTATGTCACCGCGCCACTTGCCAGATCTTCCGCCGTTCGGGAAAAGTGGTGCAGAGGGACAGTTTGCACACCGGTGAGATTAAGATGAATTAATATTAGAGAGTGAAAAAACTTGTGAATAGCTGTCCACTCTAGTCACCGCTGTGCCTGAAAGGGTTCGAATAATTTGTCGATCTCAACTTGTTTTCGAAAATGTCTTGTGACACAAGTGACAGTTGGATTGCATGTGCATGTATGTCCGTTTTTTGGTCGTTTCTAGCCGTATGGACGAAAATGTCACAAGGACGCAGCGATGGCAATCGCACCCGATTTATCGGATGCGGTTCGCCGATGAAGATGAAAGTTGTACAGTCGAACCCCGTTTCAACGTATCCCGTTTCCGTTTTCACCCCGATAACGTTCTCATTTCAAAGTCCCCATGACACGTAATTTCATTTGCCGATTTTACTTTCAACGAGCACCTTTGTAATGGAGGCTTTCGGCCGCAACCTTTCTTATGAACAGCAATGGATTCCCCTCCGTTGCTCGGCAACGCTACTGATCGACTCGTACGTTGTTGTACTTCTGGAGGCACGGCGCGGTCCAGAGCACACGCTCTGAGAACCTGGTTGGTAAACGGAAGCAAATCTCGCTGTCTGTGAAGGCTGAAATTGTCTGTCAATTTTCGAATTGGCAAAGTCAGCGATTTTTCGACAATCGTCCGTAAGGGCGACAAAATCATGGCGGAGTTTGAGGCCAATAGATGATCGTCAACGGCTTCGGGACGCGGCACACCCCTGAACTGGAGAAGGCACTTTATACCGCATTACTTGTTCATGTTTTTACATCTATAAATATTCATGCTCTATTATACATCGTAGTTGGCGGCCATTTTATTGGAAATGGTCACAACAAACTACCGTTCTAACATGCAAGATTTCCTTATGTCCCTCGAGGTAACGTCGTAACGAGGTTCAACCGGAACGGTCATTTTTCATCAATGGCTGCAAGCGTATTATATGACATATTAGCATCATATTTGCCTCCCCCGCCGCTGTCCCCTCATTTAATTTGAGCTCGGGGCATGTATCGGACCGGGCGGCCGCGCTTGGACAGGTCCATTGGTATGCAAGCTGGCGTCGGCGGGGGGGTGGGGCGCAGGATAAAAGTGCTAATCAGTTTCAGTGAAGCGGCTCCAGTCCCACAGCACAAATGTGCCGACATCAGCAGCGCCGCCAGACCGTGCGCGCTATTGCCCAGCAGAAGTCGGCCGTGTCAGAAGAGGTCAGACGGAGGTCGCTGTCGGCGGCTCCAAACGTGATGACAGCCTAACGTTTGCGAGGACTAATTGTGTCGAGCGGAGTCATCCCCACGCGCTTGCGCGAATCCCACTTAACGCGACCTTGGGCCATATGCGCTGCGTACTTGCAACCGGAGCGAAACTGATGCAAGCGCAAAGGAAAATGTGGCGTCTCGAGAGTTGGTGACAACGCGATGGCGTCAACACATTGACGAGGCCTCAATGGGATTGCACGCTCTCCCGATTCAAGTTGGATTAAAATCAGGAATTAATATTCATGAGTCCAAGTGAAAAATTGCCCTTTTTGAGTCTTTGGCCCAGGAAAAGTGCAACAGTGTAGCGCTCCGCCTCGATTTATAACTCGGTCAGCATGAAAAGTGACGCGGAGGTTTTATGTTCTCTTGAGGAAAAGTCTGCAAAATAAGATTACACAGGTTTGCAGCAAACTAATTAGCTTTCGGCAGTTGAAATGGTTCTCTGATTGATGCCGCCCGCGGCCATGTTTTGTTGTTTCGGTTGCGCTGAGCTCGGAGCACATCACAGATGTAAAACGCGCCACAGCCACGAAGCAAGACGCGCTTGCGTTTGATCACTGCTAGCGCGAGAAGCTCAAGCAGGCTGCAGGCAAACTGATTATCGGGACAAATGGGACAATGCTCCCCTGTTGTTTGTCAAAGTCAGTCAAAGGCCCGATTGTCAGAGGTCTCCGAGATTTTCCGGAGTCATTATCCTCTCTCGACTCTCAACGACTGATGGTCTTAAGTGTCATAATTGTGCTACTTGGAACGTTCAAGTCATTTTGACGTTGATGTAGAGGGCGCATAGTATCGACCCCTGCGGACCACCGCTAGTTTCCCACTGTAAAGCAAGGCTATTGTGGCAGTCGTGTGAGTGTACTGCAAACGGTCGACTGCCTTTCACACAGATGGTGCCGGTTCCAAAACCCAAGCCAGTGCCGGTCCTCGGTTGTGTGGGAATTGATTGACAGCTGAGCAGCATTTGGTTTCAGCGTATTTAGCAGACACGCTCACATTGTTTGAGAGATATTTGATGATTAAAAAAAAACGCTCAAATTGGGCAACAGCATTCTTTGTGGTGCATCAAAGGTACAAATCCTTCATTTTCCCTTTCCAGGGACCGAATTGCATTGGTGCATTAGCTACCAGCAGAGATGCCTAAACCGCGCTCTTGCGTGTGGAGCCATGTGAGCATCGTCTATGTGTGCGCCCCCCCCGTCCCCTGCGTGACTCGCCAGCCTAATCTTCCATCAAACACTCCCGCGGAGGACCGTAGCTTCCCGCGATGGCTACCGAGTCCTCATTAGTCGCCGTGTGTGACAATAGTTGCGATGTAGAGGCCAAGCGGATCGTGAGACTTGTGTTCGTATCGGACACACAAAGCGCGCAATGATGAATTAATGGGCAGCCGGTGTCGGGAGAATTACCTTGTCTCCTTTTGTGGAGAAGTTGCAGAGTTTACAATACAATTTCATAAGCGCGCTCCTTTAGGGGCTCCCTAATATGTGACTCTAATCAAAGCCCCCCGTCTCAGCTTTGTGCAGGGAGTGGATTTATGAGGCGCATGTGTGATCACGCTTTACCTCCACGCTGCCTTTCTGCCCCGCTCATGTTCATAGATGCAATTTATTTAGTCCCTCACGTTAAACTTCAATACGGCAGCATCTGTTTTTCACCAAATAACAGGAAGTCCTCCAACAACAAACGCAGTTTTTTTTTTTTTTCACAACTGATTTTTGTCCAAACAAAGGGGATGCATCACATTAAGTGGTGCTGATTTATTCTCGCGCTCTGCCAGCTGTTGCCACTTAGCACGATGCAGCTGTGGTGTTTATGATGGCGCTAAGTAAAAAACAAAAAAATCATGGCCAAAATCTATGTGTATTACCTGGCATCTGTTCCAGTTGGATGCCTCGCCGGTGAAAAGAGGTTTGCTGGCGGGGTGAGACCCCCGTGCTGGCTCTTTAGGGCCCTTCGGTGCTCACGGGAGGCATAGATTGGCGGCGGTCTCGATAGGGAGCCAGGCGGGTCGCCTCCAACCTGCACTCGACAATTACAATGCTTCGGTAATCCTCGGCATTGTTTACCGTTTGAGTTGTTGTGTTGCTGCTCTTTCAGAATTGGATTACAGTTCATCTTCTCTATTTCTTTTCGTTAGGGCTCACCCCCCCCCCCCCACCATGCTGTGGCATTGAGCCTTGATCAATACCCAGTGTTGTTTTTTTCTGGGTTTTTTTTTCCTTTTTAAGTACACAATCAATGATTTATAACGGTCACACAAGTCCAATATTTGCTCGCCGTGGCGGCCGGTGTCATTTGTGACCCCGGCACAACTCAATTAACGGGAACGATAAGACAGGAAATGAGGAAATAAACACCTCGTGGCGTGTCTGTCTCTCTTCCGTGTCAAATAATCATCTCCACAGTCTGCTGCCAAGGGGAGCAATTCCATTTTCATATGTCCTTTTTATATTTATTTATTTTTTTGTAATGCTCATGCAGCTCAGGACAGACAACAACTTGACTGTTACTCGTGCGGCGCGGAACTCGCTTGCAGGAGAACCGAGCGAACTTTTCAGTCGGCCGATCACGCGTCTGAAAAGAAAAACATCCACTTTTTGCCCGTAAAAGAGTTTTGGGCGCGAGCGGAGCTGCAATAATGAAACCCAATTTCAGGCCCGACATCGAAACAATGAGCTGAAACGGGCAAGTGTTTCGGAAGCGCCGGCGAGCCCGTAAAGGTCACGCTTCTCGCGGCGCTTGAGAAATCTGACAGCCATTGTTCTTTTCACCACCAGAAGACATTATTAAGAGATCTTGCTCGTTCACAAGATTTTCTACATGTTGATTGCAGCCTCTCGGATGGAAATGCGCCGCGGTATAACAGAAGTCAGCAAATGTGAGATACGAGTGCTGTGTGGTGGCAGTGAACGCGACTCGCTTGACAACGAGCAACACTTTTGGCAGACGAATTAATCCAATCTTCAAAAACGATGCTTAAAAAATAATTAATTTTTCTTTTTAACAGCCAGACAAAGTCACTAGCTTAATGCTAACGCATAATGGGAAACTCTATAGACGGGCTAACAAATTGCATCTATGTGGCACAGTGTTACGAAGACAAACGGTGGAGCAACACGTGGATGAATAAATAGCAGGCCCCGCCTCTCAAAGGCACATGCATGTATACAGACACGTACGTATCATATTTTCTTTCTGATTTTTTTTTTCAAATACAATTGTTTTAAAAATATCTTTCCATCACTTTACATATGTTCTGATTACTTTTAAATAGAGCTAGCTGCCTATTTTTTTCTCCATTTTCCTTTCATACTGGTGTCCAGGGGTGCCAATATGTTTGTGCAAGTTTCATGCAGAGTTTCTCTTCTTCCGGGTGTGCCCTTGACGCCGCCCCCTCCTCACCTCCTCCCTCCCCTACCATGTTAAACAAATGTTGCCTCATCTCTCATCTGACTTGAGCTCTCTCTCTGTCTCTCTCTCTCTCTCTCTCTCTCTCTCTCTCTCTCTCTCTCTCTCTCTTTAGCCTTGCAGCCTTTGCATCACCACACATTCCTTCCCACCTCCCGCCCTCTCACTCCTCCTGCTGCCCGCCTTCTCCTTGTGCTTGCCTTCTCAAGCCCGGCGGAGATTTCGAGTCAATAATCTCCGGATGTCATGCAAGCGCTTTGAATGAGGAGGGGGGAGGACTCGGAGGGGTTGAGGCGGGGGGGCCGCGAGGGTGGTTGGTGGGGCTGCAATTTTCTGCAGCCTTGACTTCTTCAGCCGGGTATTCTCAGCTTCCTCCTCCTCTCGACAGGGTGCTATTTCTTCTACCTTCCATTTTTCACCATTTGATTTATTGAATTCGTTCAGGAAAAAAAAAAATCCCTTCATTCACGCTTGTTGTGAAAGGAGCTGAAGGACGAGAACATCCGAGAAAATTCACGTTAAAGCCCCTTGGGGAAAAAAAAATATGTTTGCAATCAGGAGAGGTCCCCATAGTTGTGGGACAGCAGCAACTATGGGGAAGAAAATCCAAATTGGAATTATATAATAATTAATAATAATAATAATAAAAAATTTCAATACAGTGGAAACTCAAGCCGTTCGTCTCACTCCAGAATGCTCTGGGCGATTCCGCTGCTCGCGAGGAAACCACGCCCTACT